CAAGAGAAAGGAGCCTTTCCTGCCATTTTGGCAGGGTCCTAAGAGTTCCTGCAAAGCCAGTGGTTCTCAGCTCTGACGGCTGTGTCCCTCAGGTGACACTTGCCATCGTCTGGAGATACTGCCCACAACCGAGAACGATCTGGCCCCAAGTGTCAGTAGGGTCAAGGCTGAGAAACCCCGCTCTACCCTTTTCCCTGGAAATTAGGGAACTCGTGTTTTTTATGATTTATATTTTTTTCTAAGTAGTCTCCATGCCCAACATGGGGCTCGAACCCACAACCCAAGACCAAGAGTCGCATGCTCTTACAACAGCCAGCCAGACGCCCCACAAACTCATGTTTTTGTTTTTCTGTTTTTTTTTATGCTCTTTTCCTTTTAGGTATAGAACACCCTGTTTCACATATTTCTGGTGATAATTGTTGTTACAGCGGACATCCCTTTTGTGTGGTGAGTATACAGTGTGTAGCCTGTCCATTTTTACAGTGCTTTGAACATAGATAATTAAGAATGAAAATAAGGACAGAGTAAACCATGAGAGCTGGCACATCAAGTCCCAGGATGGGCTTGGGCAATGTCTCTTCTCCCCAGTTCAGGAGAGGGATCCCCTGGCTGGCAGGAATATATCCACCTTTGTTCCTTTTTTTTTTTTTTAATGTTTATTTATTTATTTTGAGAGGGAAAGCGTGTGCACAAGTGAGAGCAGGGCAGAGAGAGAGAGAGAGAGAGAGAGCAGCAGAGAAAGAATCCCAACCTGGATCCCAACTGTGAGGAGAGCCCAATGTGGGGCTTGATCTCATGAACCACAAGATCATGACCTGAGCCGACATCAAGAGTCGGATGCTCAACAGACTGAGCCGCCCAGGTGCCCCCTACTCTCTCTCTCTCTCTCTCTTTTTTAAATAAGTTTCTTCCTTTTTTAAACTTGCTATTTTGAAATAATTACAGACCCTACAAGAAGTCCCGTGCCCCCTTTACCAATGGTTCTTCCAATGGTTCCATCTTATGTAACTACAGTATAAAACTAAAACGTGGGGGGCCCCTGAGGGGGCATCTGGGGGGCTCAGTCAGTTAAGCATCCAATTTCAGCTCAGGTCATGATCTCACAGTTCGTGGGTTCGAGCCCCACATCAGGCTCTGTGCTGACAGCTCAGAGCCTGGAGCCATGCTTCAGATTCTGTGTCTCCCTCTCTCTCCCTGCCCTTCCGCCATTCGTGCTCTGTCTTCTGTCTCCGTCTCTCTCAAAAATAAACAAACGTTAAAAAAAATACTAAAAACTAAAACTGGGAAAGCGACATGGAAATAACACGTGTGTCTGGTTCTATGCCATGTTTGAAGTCACACGTGTGAAGTCCCAGAACTGCCACTACCCTCAAGATACTATGCTGTTCCATCACCCCAAAGCTCTCCATACATCGCTGCCCCACTGTCCCCAACCCCTGACAAACACTAAGCTGTTCTCCTTCGCTATAACCTCATCATTCCAAGAGTGTTCTATACATGGGATCGTACGACATGTGACTCTGGGGACGAGCTCTTCTCGGCAGAATGCTCCGGAAACTTGTATTGAACCCACTCCGCTTCGTTGTTGAGTAATACTCCACGGAGTGAACTTGGTTGTTTCCATTTTGGGGGTTATTACGAACAAAGCTGCCATGAAGGTTTCATTCTTGTGCGCACAGAAGTTTTCATCTCTAGGATAAACACCCAGCAGCGTGATCACCAACATCTATCTCCTTTTTTTTCCCCCCCATGGAGATATAATTGAGATACAACAATGTGTCAATTTAAGGTGCACAGTGTATTGATTTGATACACGTATAGGTGGCAGTAAATGCCATCATAGCATTCACTAACACCTCCATCACATGATTACCCTTTTTGGTGTGTGGTGAGAACAATTAAGATCTAGTCTTTTAACAACTCTGAAATTGGTAATACATATTGTTGCCTGCCATCGCTATGCTGTGCATTAGAGTCTCTAGAACGTATCTGTCTGTCAGTTGCAAGCTCTACCCTTTCTCTGCTTTTAAAGAGACTGTTTTATGGGGCACCTGGGTGGCTCAGTCAGTTAAGCGTCTGACTCGATTTCGGCTTAGTTCATGACCTCAGGGTTTGTAAGTCTGAGCCCCATGTAGGGCTCTGTGCTGACAGCACTCAGCCTGCTTGGGATTCTCTCCCTCTCTCTGCCCCTCCCCTGCTTGCTCTCTCTCTCTCTTTCTCAAAATAAACAAACATTTAAAAAATTTAGGAAAAAAAGTAAAGAGACTTCTATGTGTCTGTTCTTCCAGGATATAAGTAATTCCGTGTTTGCTTATTTGCATGGAGATCAGATATCTCAGACCCATGTGTATTTCTCAAACACCCGGGGATACACATTTCAGAAGTTTGCCTACGAAAGACAGGTATGTTCAATTTGGTAAGAACGTGAACAGCAAAATCAACAAATAGATATTTACCTCCTGCATGGTGGGGGTAATCAGCAGTCGCTGGGTGGCCAAGGGCTTTTCTCTCTTTAAAGGGTCCAACTGGCTGGGAGGGTAGGGGAAATTCAAGGTCCAAGGAGCTGGCTAGGGAGACTAGGGAGTTAGGAAAGGATACAAAAGATGTTAAGTCATAGGACACTGTGGTAAAGCCACAGTAAAGGCTGCACAATAATTATGGCCCTTAACCCCAGGCCCATCCAAAGATCCGTACCATCAGGTAACATCATCATCCCAATTATACAGACGAGAGAACTGTCCTGGGTCGAATACATGCCCACCCTCCCCAAATTAGGTTCATCCAGAACCCCAGAGACCTCAGAGTGTAACCTTACTTGGAAACAGGGTCTTTGCAGATTTAGTCAGTCAAGATGCGGTCACACTGGACCAGGGTGGGTCCTAAATCCAAAGGGACTGGTATCTTGTAAGAGAAGGAGAGGACACGGGGAGACCCGCACAGAGAAGAGGGCCGTGTGAAGACGCAGGGAGACCCTGCAGGGGTGCGGCTACAAGCCAAGGGATGCCGAGGATTACTGGCCACCACCAAGAGCTGGAAGAGAGGTGTGGCGTGGCTTCTTCCTCAGCCTCGGCAGGAGCCGGCTCTGCCAACACCAGACTTCTGGCTTCCACAAAGGTGACGGTAAATTTCCGTGGTTTTAAGCCATCGAGCACATGGCAGCCCCAGGAAACCGATAGAGGGGTGAGGGCCCAGAGGAGTGCAGAGCAGGGCTGGGATCCCAACAGCTGGAGTGGACAGGCTGCTGGGGTAGCCCAGGGGATGAGGAGATTTTGTTCTGATGCAGAGAATGGCCTCACCCCCCAAACACTCGGGAAGTATGTGCAAAGGAAGGAAGAAAGAGTCTACTCTGCTCACAAACTCTGTGTCCCAAACGCTCTTTCTCTGCCCTGCCCAGGAGGCCCAAGGGAGCCTAGAACCTAACCGACTACATACTTTCATCCGAAAGTAAGCCTAGAAGGACTCAGGGTTAACATGTGTGATTCGTTGAAAACTGTCATCACTAGAAACACCGAAAGGTAGATAGGTAGTAGATGATGGATAGATAGATAGACAGACAGACAGACCGATAATAGGAATTGGCTCACACGGTTATGCGGGCAGAGAAGCCCCCACAGTCTGCCATCCATGAGCTGGAGAACCAGGAAGTCTGGTTGTGCTGTTCAGTCTGAAGACAAAGGCCCGAGAACCAGGGAACAGCAATTCCCAGCGTCTGAAGGCCCAAGAACCAAAAACTCTGGTGTCCAAGGGCAGGAGAAGATGGACATCCCAGCTCGAGAAGAGAGAAAAATTCACCCTTCCTCCCCCTCTTTGTTCCATGTAGGCCCCCGACAGATTGGGTGATGCCCACCCAGACCGGTGAGAGTGGCCTTCTTTGTTGGGTGTACTGAATTGAATGCTAATCTCTTCCAGAATCACCCTCACAGACACACCCAGAGATAATGTTTTACCGGCTCCCTGGGCATTCCTTAGCTCCGTCCAGCTGACACATACAACGAACCAACACGAGTCCACCCCTGGTCACCTTGGCATCCATACACATCTCCGTACTTCCTCTCCAAATAAAGACACTGACAAGGTCGTCATTCTGCCCAACACAATACGACTATCCTAAGTACAACCAAAAATGCACTCCTCCCCTCCCCAGGGGAGAAGGTCAAGTTCTAGGTGATGTTTACTCTTCTCCGCGATGTCCCCTTCACTCAAACACCAATTATTAATACAGTAGTCTTCCTGCTGTGTGTGCGCGCATGCGTGCATGTGTGGTTATTGTTATTTTTGTGCCGAAGGGCTGAGATTCCAAGCAATCGTGATTCATCCCCTTGGGGTTCTGCCAGCAGGGAAGGAGCTGATGGGCAACTCCTGCCAGTTGAGATGGATTGACTGCCTGCTTTGTCAGCTTGGGCCACCACAACAGACCCCACAGACTGGGTGACTCAAGCAACAGACATTTATTTCTCCGAGTCCTAGAGGCTGCAAAGTCCAAGATCGAGACACTGGCAGATTCAGCCCTTGGTGAGGGCTCTCTTGCTGGCTCACAGATGGCCACCTTCTTACAGTGTCCTCACACAGAGAAGAGAGAACACTCTAGTGTCTCTTACGAGGAAGCTAACCCCATCATCAGGGCTCCACTCTTATGGCCTCGTCTAAACCTAATTACCTACCCGAGGCCCCACCTCCAAGGACTATCCCATCGGGTTTGCTGGTTTGAATGTTTGTGTCCCTCCCCCCAAAATGTATGTGCTGCCATTCTAGTGCTTTATGTGATGGTATTAGGAGGTGGGCCTTTGGGAGCATTTAGATCATGAGGGTGGAGTCCCCATGATTGGGATTAGTGCCCTTATAAAAGAGGAGACCACAGAGAGCTTGCTAGCCTCCTTCTGCCATGTGAGGACACAGCAAGAAGACTGTAACCCGGAAGGGCCTTCACGTGACCCATGCTGGCACCTTGACTTCAGATTTGCAGCCTTCACAACTGTGAGCACTAAACGTCTGTTGTTTACAAGCTACTGCGTGGCATTTTGGCCAAAATGCACTAAGCAGCCAAACTGTCCATTAGCAGCCAAAATGGACTAAGACGGGGGGTTATGACTTTAACATACGAATTTGGTGGGGGGACACAATTCAGTTCATGGCACTGTCTATATTAGAAAATTCCCCTTAATAACTTAAGAGGCTTAAATAAAATAATAGTCTTTCTCTCTCTTACCTGGAGATGTCTGGAGGCAGCCAGCTGTGTTGTCCCGCTGCCCCTAGGTTAGGGCCCTTGGGTGACCTCATGCCTCCGCTTGGCTTCCAGACACTTTGCTGACCAACCAGAAATCAGGCATGAGGAACCAAGGCAGGAGGGAATGATTTAGGCAAGCATCTGGCAATCTGGGTCGCACCACTTCCCCCAGCACCCCCCAAACAAGGCTGCCTTCATTCAAGGTTCTGTCCTACATGCTACACTTCCCTAGAGGGGAAATAGACCAGAACAAAATAGACTTTCCTTCATTTTAGCTTATTAGGTGATCTGGAGTCAAAATCAAACACATGTTAATGATTTCTTCATATGTTGTATGTTTCTGTTTGTTTCACAGGCAGAACTAGTCGGGTCTTTGGGTGGGGTCTTCTATTTTCACTCCTTGTCACAGGTTGGGCTGCTTCTCATTGACCAAGGGAAGGTGAGTAGCTTTGGACGGGGATGAAAGACTTAACTGACCTTTGCCCTAAGCCAGGTTTTCGTTAAAACCATCCATCCATCCACCCATCCATCCATCCATCCCACTATCCCTCTACTCACCCATCCCTCCATCCATCCATCCACCCACCTACTTGTCCATCCATTCATCCACCCACCACTCCACCTACCTACTCAGCCGTTCATCCATCCATTTGCCTACCTATGCATCCATCTACCCACCTGCCCACTCACACACCCACCACCCATCTCCCCCCGCATTCGTTTGTCCACTCCGTCATGCACTTGGCAGCATTTAAGTGGTGTCCAGGAGGTGCTAAGCACTGTGCTGAACAGTAGGGATACAGTACAAGGTGTGGGGCATGTGTCACTGACCGCGCAAAAGATCGTCTTAAATGTTTCATGTTGAACTATTGGCTAAAGATTATTTTCATGTGTATTCAGAAACTTGGCATATGAAACAGATATCACAGATACCCCGTAGAATAAGACTGGAAAGTGCATTTGAAGAAAAAAATATTAAGTCAGAAAAAGATTAGGTACAGTCAGTACCCAGGCATTTCAGATACTGTAAGTGGGATGTACAGCTCTGTGGTTCAGGGGAGCCCTGCTGTGAGGAAGCTTCCAGAATTTGGGCTGACCTCCGTGGCTGAAAGCCCCTCACCCCCTGATCAGGTGCGTGGTCCCGTCCCCACGTGAGTGCCCTCATTAGCACAAGGTTCCCTGGGCCGTGCGTCGCTCTGGAGTGAGTGCGGTGGTGTCCACGTGGTTACCACCGGCGCACGATTTCTCAGGCCTGCCTACCCACAATCCCAGAGGCTTTGGCTGGCAGGCGTCTACACTGGGGGGTTTGCTCGCTGCACATTTGCATTCCTCGCCACTGGGCCCTTGACCCTAGGTCTCTGTCTGTAGTCCAGCTGAAGTCTGTTGAGGTGCCTTGACCACAGCCTCCTTAAGGAGAAGGAAGAAACCAGCAGGGCACATCTCTCTGCTTGGTACTCAGTACTCAGTACTCAGTGCTCAGTGGTTTTCCGCTCCTGGCTTCCCTTCCCCCTGGCCCCTGAGTGCCTGAAACTTTAGGAGCCTTTGGTTTGGGGCTCCCTGTGCAGTGAGGGGAGCCCCTCGCCTGACCCCACGGCCCTCGACATGGGGGAGGGGTGGCCGGGAGCTCCGCCCTGTCTCTGGCGTCCCCTGTCAGCGATTCAAGTCTGACCTCCTTCGTGTTTGCCGTGTTGTCTTAGTTGGCTCCTCTGCCATCCGGCAGCCCAGCCCGGGGACAGGGGACCGGAGCCAGCCGGCGTATTACACAGGGGGCCTGGGTCGGGCCCGATGCGCGCTCACAGGCTCAGTGGGTCAGGGAGACGAGCCCGGCCCCCGTGTCCTCGAGGTGGGGGCACTGGGGGCCGCGTGCCATCCATCCTGCCCTGAGCGCTGTGTCTCTGGCAGCCCAGAGGGAGAGGGCAGGGCTCCTCCGCCTCGGCCCTGCGTGCCCTGTGGCAGGAATAGTTGTTTGGGGCCATCCCAGGCGCTGTGGGTGTGGAACAGCACCCCCGCCTCATCGACTCCACTCCAGGAGCTCCCCCGGTCCCGACTGCCCCGCACGTCCCAGACATCGCCCAGTGTCCCCTGGGGGCAGGGCCGCCCCAATGAGAACCACTGGCCCCGATAATAAGGCTTGAAGGAAGCCCCAGTGACCAAGTTCGCGGACGCCCTCGACCCAGTGACTCCTTCCGTCACCCCCCGGGATTCAGCGATCTCTTTCTCTCAGGCTATGTTCAGCTACTCAGAACACCCCCTGAACCGCAGTTTGGGGCTGCCCTTTGACTACAATGGGACCCTTGACATCCTCATCACCCCGGGCCAGAAAGGCATTCTGATCTTCTGGTTTGAGAAGAGCCTGTTGGTTTCTGGAAACGCAGGTGAGCGAGGCCCAGGCTTGGGGCCGCCCTCGGTGTCCCCATGATGTCCCCTTGGGTGGGGAAAGCACAGCGGGTTTTTCTCTCCCTTGGCTTGAGCAGACTGGGACCAACCCATTCCCACTGTGAACCCTCACTGTGTCCAGCACCCCACCACACCCCATTTCCTGCCTCCTCTAGTCTTTAGGGCCATGCGGGCAGGTTCTGAAAGTCACCCCTCACCCCAGTCACCTAGGCCAACCCTGGTCTTCCAACCAGGAACCACGGGTTCACGACTCTGGGACGTGGCTCAGGGCTTCCCCTGGCCGGGAAAAGTCACCGCACCTCCGGCTGGCCTGCTACATGAGTCCCAGCCCGCCAGCCAGCATGACACAGGGAGCAGAAGGCAGCCCCACCCCGGGAAGGCGGACTGTCAGGGCCCCCTGGGCACAATGTGGCTGCAGGGGCACCTACAATCGCAGCCCGCTTCACAGCACCAGTCAGGCCGCCTGAACACCGTTGTCTTCCCCCCACCCCCGCCCCAGCCCCACCCCACGCAAGGAAAGGGCTCAGGGCTGACTGGTCCATTCGGGGCGCTCATGCCAGAAAGGAAGCTCTGATTCCATGTTACCCATAGAGTAAAAGGCATTCCAGGGCATTCATGCCTCCCGCAGTGAGAAAAGCAGTTCTCCGGAACCCTGCAGCCGGTGCCCGGCGTTCCTGTCCCACCCAGGCTTGCTTTGCTCAAACCTAAGCGCATTCTGTGCGACGTTCCACGGCGGTGCGGCCCCGGGCCGTGTTTGCCTCCATTCGGTTACCCCTTGAGTCGCTAACCAAGGGCTGGGGTGGGCGGGCGGCGGGGGTCCCTTTCCTCATGACCCTGCCCTGTCGTCTCATAGGTCAGCTCGTTTAGCCTGTCCCCATGGACGAAGAACCCGGCATCTCGTATTCTTCCGTTTCGGAAGCCAACGTCACCATCCACAACATCGCTGCCAGTGCGTGGCCAGCCTCGCAGGTAGCTTTCTGAAGGTTGCTTCACTGGAAGCGTTATAGCTGACCCGCTAGATCCAGTCCGGCCCAAACCAAACCACAGTGTGATCATCGCACGTTCGAGAGCAGCTCTCGCCATAAACTATTGTGCCTTTTCACCACGATGGACCGTTCATTGGGTGCTCGCTTCCTAAGGCCGCTACCACAAATGCCCACAAACCGGGGAAGGAGGGTGCGGGGACGGTTCTAGAGGCCGGAAATCCGACATCAACATGTGGGCTGGCCCATGCTCCCCGCAGAGGCTCTAGGACAGGATGTGCCCCAGGCCTGTCTCTCTGGGTTGTAGACGGTCCTTGTCCCCTATGTCTGCACACTGTGCCCCCTACTGGGCATGTCTCCATGTCCATATTTCCCCTTTAAAAAAAAATAATGTTTTTTTGAGGGGGGGGTGGAGCAAGGCAGAGAAAGAGGGAGACACAGAATCAGAAGCAGAGACACAGAATCTGAGCTGTCAGCACAGAGCCCAACGCGGGTCTCGAACCCACGAACTGAGAGATCATGACCTGAACCAAAGTCGGACACTCAACGGACTGAGCCTCCCAGGTGCCCCATGTTTCCCCTTTTTATAAGGATGCCAGTCATATTGGATTAGGACCCACCCTGATGACCTCGCTGGGACTTGATCATGTCTGGAAAGACCTGATCTCCAAATACAGTCACCTGCTGAGGTCCTGGGGGTTAGGATCCCAATCTGTCTTTTTTGGAGGTGACACGTTTCAACCCCCACCAGCTGGCATCCCCAGGATTTCTTTGCAACCAAATCATTGTCCTGGTGCTGTCTTAAAAGATGACATTCGCCCGAGTAATTCTCCTCACACGGTTCGTGGGTTGAAAAGGCAAATAGTGGAGTAAACCGGGCGAAGGGGGCTGTCGCTTGAGTTTTAAGTCACTATTTCCCTCTGTTTGCTGATCGTTGCATTACATCCTACTATCTATGTCCCTATATCTATTTAAAATTAACTCATAATTATAGAAATCCATGATACACATTTCCTTAAAATTAAACCAGTGGTGCATGGTCCCTTAGAGGAATTTTTCTTCTTAACATTACAAATACGATTAGTTCCTGCATACCTGAAACCTTTTACCTGTTGTACAGCCAAGTCCCCATTTCGTCAACCTGGGGACGCTCGGCGGTGTCTGGGGACATCCATGGTTGTCTCATCGGGGGGCGTGCTCCTAGTATCTACTGGGTAGAGGCCAGGGACGCTGCTTAACATCCTGTAGTGCCAGGACGCACCCCACCCCCACCCCCAAACTACCGCAAAGAAGGATCTGGTCCCTAACCTCACTAGCGCCAAGGTCAAGAAACCCTCAGTACATTAATTCACTCCCCGCTCCTCAAACACACCTCCGCTTTTCTATATCAGAGGCTTTCCCCAAGGTTCAGCTTAAGCCTCACTTTTTCTGAAAGCTCCCTTGTCTTCTTTTTTTAAGAATAAAAATACACATCCGGTCATGTTGACCCTTTCAGAAAACCTTTTAGTGCTCTCCTGTGTTCCTTGGAACTCTGTGTCTGCGAAAGACCGGAAACAACCTCCAGGCCCACCCGTGGAGGACCGGTTAGTTCAGTTCTAGTTCATCCGGGCACATGCATACACACGGAAGAAAACAATTTTTGTTTAGCATCCGACTCTGGGTTTCTGCTCAGGTCATGATCTCAACAGTTCGTGAGTTCGAGCCCCCCATCAGGCTTGGCGCTGATGGCTCAGAGCCTTCTTGGGACTCTCTGTCTCCCTCCCTCTCGCCTACCCTCCTGCTCATTCTCTCTCTCTCTCTCTCTCAAGATCAACAAACTTCAAAAAAAAAAAATACAGTTTTCTTAGAACGCAATCACGTCCGTTCATTTACAACCGGTCTGTAGCTGCTGTCACGGAAGTGAATACTTGTAACAAAGCACCTGACCAGCAAAGCAGAAAACATTTGCCATCTGGCCTTTTTTAAAAAAAAAAAAAAATTTTTAATTTATTTTTGAGACAGAGAGAGACAGAGCATGAGTGGGGGAGGGGCAGAGAGAGACAAGACACAGAATCCGAAGCAGGATCCAGGCTGTGGGCTGTCAGCCCAGAGCCCGACGCGGGGCTCGAACTCACGGACCGTGAGAGCGTGACCTGATCCGAAGTCAGATGCTTAACCAACCACGCCACCCAGGCACCCCTGCCATCTGGCCTTTTACAAAAGAAGTTTGCTGACCCCTGGTCTATATGATGGAATCGGCGTAATTGTTTTTTCACAACTTGTTAGATTTGTTACAGTTTTGTCCACGGAAACAGCCCTCATTTCCATTTTGTTCTGTCTTGTTTCTTTTCTCCTAGATCAGAATGAACTGGCAGTCTTAACTCGGGAGAACAGTTTGTATTATGGCAGCCTCGGAATCCTGCCAAGTTCTCTAATCAAAGTAGGTACATTCGAAGTGCTGTTTATCGCCGTGTCGGTGAGGAATTACGGTCTCGTTCTCAAGCTGCCGATCCTTTTCCTGAAGGCGGGAAATCACTCTAGTTATGAGAATAGTACTGGTATTTTAATAACAACGGCAATCGTTTAATGATTTTAATTAATATGGGATTTATGGCCACAGCAGCTAAAACTTACTGGGCGTTCAGGATATAGTAGGTGCTGGTCTGAGAGGTTTCCCTCTGTTAACCCCATTTAATCCCGACCATCGTCTTAGAAGTAGAACCTCGGGGGCACCTGGGAGGCTTGGTTGGCGGACCATGTGACTCTTGATCTTGGGCTGTGAGTTCGAGCCCCACGTTGAGGGTAGAGATAACTAAAAAAGAAATAAACAAATAATCGTAAAAAAAAAAAAAAAAAGAAGAAGAAGAAGAAGAAGTCGAAGAACCTTGTATTGTCCCCATTGGACAGACGGAAAAACTGAGTCACAGAGAGACCGGAAGCGGTGATGCCAGAGTTATTTCACATCCCCTTTTACGTCATGCCTGTCTAATTTTATTTCACTCTCACAAAACCCCAGGAAGGAGATAATCTCATCCAACTTTTACAAGAGAGGAAAAACTGAAGTTCAGATTTCTCTCTTTCCTAAGGGCCCGTAACTCATTAGCAGCTAAGCCAGAAAAGAAACGTGAGGACCGTTAAAGTTAATTTACTTTTGAGAGAGAGAGTGAACGTAGGAGGAGCAGACAGAGAGGGAAAGAGAGGGAGAGGGAGGGAGGGAGGGGGAGAGAGAGAGAGAGAGAGAGAGAGAGAGAATCCCAAGCAGGCTACACGCTGTGAGCACAGAGCCTGATATGGGGCTCGAACTCACAAGCTGTGAGATTATGACCTGAGTCAAAACCAAGAGTCGGACACTTAACCGACTGAGCCACCCAGGACCCCCTGTCACACTGACACATTCTTGACAACCACGGCATTTTCTGGGGGAGGGTCATTAGCTTTCGTCCGACTTTCCAGAGCGGTCCGGGATCTGTGGATAAGTCTAGAATTATTTCCTGTGTATCCTCTCTGCTGAGGAAATATGGAGTTTCCATCATTAATCACCAAAGAATGAATGAAGCGTACTGATGACTTTATCTGGTCTTCCTTCTAAATTTAAACCTGAATCGTGAGATAAAATTTACATCCTCAAAAAAGACTTAGAACGACCCGATCTCCCAAGTTGCTTTTCTCTTAGTTTTCAGGCCAAAACATCTGGTCCCAAGAGGCAGCCGTGATGTTCACTGATGTGGGGCAAGTGGAAATACTGACCCCGCTCCCCGATCCGATGTTTCCAGCTTTTGATTTCCAGAGGTGCCCTATGAACGTTCAGGAGATTCTCATGGATCCCCAACTCCAAGTTGACGTTTGCAAAGTATGTGATCGTAACTGTTTAGATCAATGTTCCAGGCACCCTTTCTTTTTTTTTTTTTTTTTTTAACACTTATTTTTGAGAGAGAGAGAGAGAGAACATGGGGCAGGGGCAGAGAGAGAGGGAGACACAGAATCTGAAGCAGGCTCCGTGCTGAGAGCAGAGAGCCCGATGCAGGACTTGAACCCATGAACTGTGAGATCACGACCGGAGCCGAAGTCGGCCACTTAACCGACCGAGCCACCCAGGCGCCCCTAGGGTGTCCATTTCCAAATGGCCTTTGGATCCACAGCATTTAGCGATATGAGAAACAACTACTGAGCGTATCGATCTATGAAAATATCCTCTTATGAGATGATGGTGCTAGGAGACGGGAGTGATTTTTTTCTTCTTTCCTCTACTTGCCACAATAAACTATCAGTCCCCAGCCATGGGGATTTTCTTGTGGGCCCTTGAACTCTTCTGGGGAAAAAGGCTGTGCCATTAGCAAGTAGTTTTCCCAAATCCCTCCCCCACCAAAAGCCCCACCCAAACCAGCAACTACACAGTGTAACAAAAACCCACGGGTGACGGGGCGCCTGGCTGGCTCAGTCGGAAAAGCATGGTGATTTTTGTTCTCCGGGTCGTGAGTTTGAGCCCCACGTTGGGCTACAGCCTACTTTAAAAACAAAAACAAAAACGCAGGGGCGCCTGGGGGGCTCAGTCGGTTAAGCATCCGACTTTGGCTCAGGTCACGATCTCACAGTTCGTGGGTTCGAGCCCCGCGTCAGGCTCTGTGCCAACATCTCGGAGCCTGGAGCCTGCTTCCAATTCTGTGCCTCCCTCTCTCTCTGCCCTTCCCCTGCTCACGCTTTGTCTCTCTCTGTCTCCCCAAAATAAATAAATGTTAAAAAAAAAAAAAAAGCAAAACGCAAAAATCCCCCGGATGAAAGCTGGGCAGCAAAGACAAATCACACAGTATTAGATAATAAGCCAAAGTGTAATAACCCAAACCCGACAGACCCGTCCTCCAACGCCCACCTGCACCAGGAAAATCCAGACTGTGAGAATCTACGGGTCCAGCAGTTGGGGGGCTTCAGAGATGAAGAGACACGAAGAGGGCGGGGTGAAGGGGGAGCCTGTGGATTGCAAGGGGCTTAGAACAATGTTTGAAAACGGGCCGGACCAAGTTACATCACCTAGGGATGCGCACTTGGCAAAGAAGCAACTATGGCAAAAATCAGGTGTGTTGGGGGGGGTGGGGAGACTTCTAGAAAGAGGCTGGAGTCTGCAATGGTGGGCACGAGGCTCCTGAGGAGGGGTGGGACGGCTGCAGGATCCGGCAGGGAAGACAGTGGCGTGCACAAAAGACTAGAAGGTTCAATCCCAGGAGGTGGCTGCCTGCCGCCCCGGCGCATCTGATGCGACGGATTGATTTGCGCGGCGTTTCTGCCCAGGTAGAGCTTCTGCAAGGAGAATTTGACAACAGGATGTACAGCATCGACATGAACAGCAAACTGCAGCTCGGCTTTCTGGCGATTCAGCTGCCAGGCAGGTCACCGGTCCCACTGGCAGGCCACCTCCTCTCCTGACCTTACCCGGTGCTTCAGCACTTGGGGTCCCCAGCGTCATGACCTAAGTCCCCTGGCACCGCTGACCCTCACCGCCCGGCCTCCTTCCCCGGGCCTCCTGTGCCTCCTTCTCCATCCCAGCTTCTGGGCTGTTCTATGCTTCCCACTCCTCTTCCTCTTAGCCCAGCCAGGACCCTTCTGTGCTGGCCAGCAGCCCCGACTCCCTCGGCCTCCCTCAAGGCTGGAGGTGCTCAAGACAGTGGGGTCTGACCTGAAACCCAAGTGGCCAAGCCGAATACCTCCAGGGAGACTCTGGGTGAGATTAATGTAGGCCATGGGGTGAAGTCCAGCCAGGGAGGCCAGGCTGGCTCCTGCTCTTATCTCACTCTCCCTACCCTGCTTGAGACGGGCCTCCTTGGGGGTCCTCCGGGGTGGGGGGGGTGAGTGCAAACCCACCAGCTTGGGACAGGTCTGGGTCCCAGTGCTCAACTGTCTGCCGGGGCTCAGAGGCCACACTGGGGGGAAGTGACGAGGTGGGGCGACATGGTGGAGGCGACTGCCTTTGAGCAAGCTCGGTTTTTTAGTGTGAAGGGCACGAGGGGTCCCCTGTGGTGAGATCCAGTATTTCCCTTTGTCCCCCTGCCCCAGAAAATGGTGTGCGTCTCCTTCCCCACCCCACCCCCCCACCAGGCAATGGTGAGCAACCCCACCCTGGGGCTGCAGGTATTATCTACGAGGACGGCTACACCTGTGACTTACCTGAAAGCTGCAGACTGGTGAGGCTTCTGCCCCAGGCCAGGTCAGTGCAGGGAAGGGCACAACCAGGCCTGGGCCCAGCCAGGTCCATGCCTGAAGGCTCCTCGGCCTGAACTTCCTTCCTCGCCCATGGCTGGATAAGGCGCTAAAAGCATCTGGAGGACACGGGCCTGCTCCCCCGCCCTGCTCCCTGCAGGCAGGAAGCACAGGGACAAGCGTGACAGAGGTCAACACAGCCCCAGAATCAGCTGGGTAAACTGAGGCACGAGGATGGAGGTGAAAGGGGAGGCCGGGGGGGGGCAGGAGGGTCCTGGCCAAACAGGGCCAGGGTGCTCCACAGGGCAGGCTTGAGCCTCAGGTCACAGTGAGTTTGCACTTGACCCCGGAAGCCTAGGGTAGGGTTGGGTTTCCACAAAACGAGGCCTGACAAGGCATCAGTCAGCTGGGGATTTTGGACCGGTCCCGTCTGCCACCTCCTAAAGAAGGGGAAACAAAGTCACCCCTCCTCACTCGGCCCCTCAGACAAAGCGAAGGAGCAGCCAGGAACGGTCATTTGAACAGAAGCCTGCGGTGGTGCGGTCATTTAGAATCAAGAGGCAAGCTGGATGCTTTCCAGGCTCCTCAAAAAGCCCCATCTCTACCTCAGTGTCCCCCCAGCCCCGGTGATCTCAGCCGCCGGGCTGCCCACCGTTGTGTTTGTTCTGGGTTCCCACAGAACATCTCCTGAGGCAGCACCACTGGGGCAGGGTAACCCAACTTCACCTCCCAGGTGCATTAAATTGCCTAGATGGGAGTGAGAAGTGGCCCCGGGGTATGAGGTTCCCCTTGAGCAGATCTGGGAACGGGCTGAGATCCAGACTCCCTCCCTCCAAGGACAGTAAGGCCAGAATAATGGTAACACTAAATGGTGGTTCCTCAAAGCATTGAACATGCGGAGAATTACCATATGACCTGGCAATCCCAGCTTCTGGGTCTACACTGGAAGAATGGGAAGCAGACTGGAACAGATATGTGCACACCTGTTTACAGCAGCCTGATTCACAGTCACCAAAACGTGGAAACAGCCCCATCCATAGATGGCCAGTAGGTGGACACCAGTGTGGCCCATCCACGCGCTGAGATATCACCCAGCCTCAGGAAGGAGGACATCTGCATGCCACCACGTGGACCCTGAGGACACTGTGTGCGGTGACAGAAGCTATTGACACAGAAGGACACGCCGTCCTGCATGACCCCACCCACAGGGGTCCCTAGAATATGTATTTCAACAAGTCTTCATTCTACTGTGGAATTTTGTATCACTGTATCACATATAATTGGAATTTGCTAAGACATCAGAACTAAGTATTCTGACCTAGGGGGGGCTCTGGGGCTCAGTCGGTAGAGGCGTCCACTTGGTCCTCAGTCATCCGCTGTTCGTGAGTTGAGCCTGTGAACTCTGTGCTGACAGCTCGGAGCCTGGAGCCTGCTTTGGATTCTGTCTCCCTCTCTCTCTGTTCTCTTGCCTCCCTGTTCACACTCTGTCTCTCTCTCTGTCAAAACAAATAAACTTAAAAAAATATTGGGTATTTATCCCTTCGGGAAGCCTGGGTGGCTCAATGGGTTAGCGTCGACTTTCAGCTCAGGTCGCGATCTCACTGTCTGTGAAGTTCCCTCGCGTCAGGGCTCTGGGCTGATGGCTCAGAGCCTGGAGCCTGCTTCCGATTCTGTCTCCCTCTCTGTCTGCCCTCCCCCGTTCTTATGTTTGTCTCTCTGTCTCAAAAATAAATAAACATTTAAAAAATATTTAACTCAATTTTTTATGTACTTGGCAATTAAAAAAAATCAACCAGATCTCCCAGTAGAGATTTTCAGACCACATGCTCAGACCATAATCCAACAAAACTAAGACTGAATGGCCAGAAAAACAAAACCAATGACAAAAGCCCCCCTTTCTTGGAAAGTAAGAACGCTTTTATAAATAACCTTGAATCTAGAATCAAGTACAACATTTGCTGAAACATACTCAAAGGAACATCTGTACCTAGGCACTTTTATTATGAGGGGAAGAACGGACTAAAGACGCTATGGAAGCATTGAACTTAACCAGGGAACCACAAAAGAAGGGAAGTTAATGATGATACTGAATAAATGTATTAAACAGAGGGCAAAAAGACAGGATAAGTCAAAGTGACACATAAAGCTGGTTCTTCAGAAGCCCAGTACACAAGCGACCCCGCAATCCTGTGAAGGAGAATTGAAAACAAGAAAATGACAAGTGTGGAACTTATCAACTCAAAAGAATAAGGAGGGCTTGCCCAACTCAAAGCTCCACAGTGAAGGAAGCCACCCACAAAAATGAAAAGTGACTGACTGGGAGAAAATGACGCCAGAACACGTCAAAACAAATCAGGAACAAGCAACTCAAGAACAACAACAGATGAAAAAATGGGCGGCAGAAGATCTGAAGAGACGCTTTCCAGAGAAGACAGACATCAGGCCAACAGACACGTAGAAAAAGATGCCCCACGTCACTCAGCCTCAGGAAGCATGAATCAAAAGCACACCGAGACATCATTCCTCACACCATCACGATGGGGCTACAATCAACAACACAAGCAAGGGTTGGCGAGGATGGGAAGAGCCCTGCACTGTTGGTGAGAATACAGTGGTGCAGCTCCCGGTGGGGCAGGCTCTTCAGAAAATGAAAGCGAGACCCACCACACAACCCAATTCAGGTCTGACTATTTGAAGAAGACTAAACGGCGCTAATTGAAACAATACACGCAGCGCCCCTTTGTTTGTTGCAGCATCATTTACAAAAGCCAAATTATGGAAGCCATCAATCTATGGCGATCCATCTAGAGGGTGAATGGATAAAGACGCGTGGTGTATGTATACAATGAAATATCACCCCCCAGTTATAGAATAAAATAGTCATGGGGATGTATTGAAGTGCCAGGCAAATACTTGGTCAGTAATGTTGTATTAACTTTGTATGGTGACAGATGGTAACTAGCCTATTAAGCGATCCTTTTGCAAATGTATGCAGACATTAAATAACTATGGTATGCCTGGAACTAAAGATGATATTGCATTTCTTTAAAAAAATTTTTAATGCTTTGAAATTTTTGAAAGAGAGAGAGGAGAGAGAGAGAGAGATGAGTGGGGAGGGGCAGAGAGGAGAGGAGACACAGAATCCGGCAGGCTCCGGGCTCTGACCTGTCAGCACGCGGAGCTGGCTGGGCCGAACTCGAACTGCCAGATCACGACCTGAGCACCTTGTCGGTTGATTGCGGCAACAGACTGAGCCACCCAGGAGCCTGGCATTATGATATTGTATTGCAATTATACTTCAATGAAAACGGAACAAGAAAACATTATATCGTGGCTAGGTGATAATAATGTTGTAGGTAATAATGATGTCAGATGTGGTTTTCAAGAAGTTATTATAAATAATGAATAAATGAAGCAGAAACTCAGGAGAAGGGGTGGAGACCTGCGTGAGCAGAGGTTCTCAGTCTCGTATTCTGGAGCATAAATGGATGAATGGATGATGGACAAGCGGAGGCCTGGATGAATCATGAATGGATGGATGGATGGATGGATGGAAAGTAAATCGGTGGGTTGTTGGCATTTGTTTTAACTGTTACTATTGTGACACTGTTATTAGATACACACTCCATTGCCCTGCAGCATAAAGAAACCCACAGTATCTACTCTGGACGTAGCCTTCAAAGGAAATTTCATGTGTGACCTGAAGCCACTGGTATGTCCTACCACTGTCCCATATTCTTTGTTGGCATGCTGGAGAATAATGGTGGTGAACTCCTGGATTTTCCCTGAGGGGCTGGCAGAGCCTATGTTCCAGGATTTGAAATGGAGGTGATCTGGTCCCAGTTGCAAGGGTCCTTCCCCCCCCCCCAGCCCCATAACAGCATCCCCAGGTCTGCCTCAGACTCACCAACCTAAGGCAGGTGTGGTCATTCCTCGGTCATCCCCAGAACACCTCTGGCCCCAACTCTGGTGACAGCACTCACTTGGTACTCCTCCCAAGAGAACTTGAAAAACAGCACATCCACGGAAACCTGTACACATATATTCACAGTGGCCTTATTTGTAATAGTCAAAAGGTGTTAGCTACCCAAATGTTCCATTTGATGGGTGAACTAATAAACACAGGGCAGTCCGTGTCTGACACCACAACATGGATCTTGAAGACGTTACACGCTCAGTGAAATAAGTCAATCCCAGAAGTCTAAATACTGTCGGATTCACTTCTCTGAGGTCCCCAGAGCAGTCCTGTCCACAGAGACAGATGGTGGGCACCAGGGTGTGTCAGGACTCATGGGGACAGTCTCGTTTGGGGGGAGACAGAGAAGGTTCTGGAAACAGTTGGTGGGGGGTGGGTGGCCGCAGCCGTGTGGTGTATGCCTTGAGCTTTTGCGC